CTTCATGAATTATTAATGAGTTTTCTAATTATATATATACATATGGATTTGATTTGATTTCTTTTCAGGTTAACGATAGAATCACAGTAAAGCATCGATATATAAAGAGCTTCCCTCTTTGATTCAAGCCATCAAGCTATCCCGTGCGGATCGACTTGAAACCATATGCAGTGGACCTCGTTTGTCTTCTTCAAGCTACTGTACAGTTGCATGAGAGTAAGGGAGCCTTAACAGCAGAGCTGTATACATCTTTTTAGCATCACGTCGCTGCTAAACTTTGTAGAAATGTTTGTAGAAAAGCGAAAGCGCCGTGTTTCACACGCTAAAAAAATTGCCCTCTAGAAATGAATGCAACAGACCACTTGAAAATGTCTATATTTTTTCTCCTTTTTTTCTTACTTTCCTGTGTCATCATATATCAACTATGGTTTCAGAAGAACAACCGATTTGAAAACAGATCATTAGCTACAAACATTCTAATACCTTTTTTACCAAAAATTTGGAATTTTTTCACTGGAATTATTTTTCGTTTTCACGACTTGATGACTCGTCACGTCGCTCACGATATCACGATAGGTGCCGAAATGATCGACTCTTCTAATTCATTTTATTCTTACTCACAGGATTCCACGATGACCCACTTTTTTTTTTTTTTTTTTTTTTTTTCTTTTTTTGTTCCAACTTATGTTGTTATCAACTAGCAAAGATTCAGAAAATTGACATTTACTTCGCATTAACCGCTAACGTCCTTAAGGACACCTCTATCTTACAGACAGATGTTTTGGTCCTGCGGCAAAAATCACCTCACATTCTTTATTTTATCGACCCTACCTTCATATTAAGGGCACCTCTATATTGCGGACACTTTTTTCTGACCCTTCGGTATCTGTATTATAGAGGCCAAAACCCATTTAGTGAACTAAGTATAATAAAAAAAAAAATCAGTAAAGTAAAGAATGCACAATTTCAACAATGCAGGCACTTTAAAATTTCACGGATCTTCAGTGGAAGACATGAATGAGACTAATCCTGAGCAGCAAATAATTTGAAACTGGAGTATTAATAATTATTATTCTTATTTTCTTTTTAAGACCCCAAAGTTTCAATGAGTGGTACTCCGTCCTCGTCTCCCGAGTACATTCCCTTCTCTTCCGCAGAACCAGAGCGATCACCAACATCAGAACCAGAAGCATCTCTTCCCAACTCAGCAGCAGAGCCGATCCCAGAATGGGATACAGCAACAGTCACTTGGGAATGGTTCTGGGACGTCCACTGGATCGGCCTGGGATGTTTATTCACAATACTGGCTCTATACTCCTTGTGGTCTGTCCTGAACGTCGCCAGAGAATCAAAAAAGCGGTCTCGCGTTGTTTCTATTTTCATCTGTTCAATGATCTTTGTGTTGGGATCTTCGCGCGCGTTGTTCCTCTTCATAAACCCGTACGAATCACCTCAGTGCCACATGTTGTCTGTCTGTCCCTTCATACTTACCAGGATTCTGTTCGGGCTGGGTCTCCCGTGCCTCACTGCTGCTTTCTCGTTCATACAGCTAGTCTTCCTTCAGGTCGTCAAGCTTAAACTCTACCCCCGAAAAGTCCAGAATTGGAAATTCCTCTTGACTATCGTAATGATACATTTTTCCTTAGCTTTGGTGATTGAAATAGTCGTCTTTTTATACGCCGACTGGCGATCACTTTCTCTTGTCTGCCAAGCATTCTTCATCGTGTTTAGCCTCGTTTTATCCACGTCGTTCATCTACACGGGAAGGAAAATCATCCATCGCGTGAATCAAAGTGCGCGGCAAGTCTCAAAAATGGGAACACGTTCAGTTAATGCTAAAAATATCGCCAAAAACCCATCCCGGAAACCTGGTTTATCGAAGCTGGTCCGAATCACCTTCCTAACAGCCGCCCTCGGCTTCATAAGCTGCGCGCTACAGCTTTATTCCATTTTCGTTGTCTATGACATGTATCGTTCCACCAGCAAGAGAGAGCCAGAACCATGGCCATGGCTGGTTTTCCAGACTCTTTATCGTATCGTTGAACTTCTCGCTGGAATCACTATGGGCTATGTGTGCCCTCGACAGGCTAATGTCCAGAAGAAATCCCCTATGTCGCCATGTTGGTCCACGTTTGAGGGGAGAAAACGGCGCTATAGACCGGCAGTATTTTACACTGACAGTGGCACAACCGATCCAAGTGTCAATCACTCAACGGAGTTAGAACTACTCTAAAAGAAAACAATGTATACAGGCAACTACTTGTTTTTGATGGATGTTGCTCACTAAGCTAGAAATGTTTTATATTCATGTGTAAGTAATGTCAGCACAGAAAGAAAATATGCCAGAAAAACGTGCAGAAAAAGTTTTGAAAAATTCCATATCGATGTGACCTTTTCTGATCGCATCCATATTGCATTCATATTGCATTCATGTTGCATTTATATATATTGCATTTATATTGCATTCATATTACATTCATGCAGTGCATTTATATATATTGCATTTATATTGCATTCATATTGCATTCGTATTGCATTCATATATATTACATTCATACTGCCCATAGTGCAGTTAGGGATTGATATTCAACATGTAGCAAAACAACCACACCTTTTATTTTCAAAAATCTGTAGACCTATTAATCATGGGTTTTCATTCAGACAGCGTGTCATTCCCTTGAGTATTATTTCTCTTGTCTTCCAGTGATGTTTGAAAAGTTCTAATGAAATAGTTCAACTCAAAATAACAAATAAATCTTCATTGTAAGTCGCGATAGAAAGCATTGTCGTTGAAGTTACTAGTCTCGGGTTGACCTCCTGAGTTCCACTCGTGTGAAAAAAATAAAAATCTATTTTGAAATGCGTTCTTGTATCTGAAGCAAAAGCATTTTACTAACTGATTCAGCCATATCGTGGCACAGGCTGCCCAAGCAGTGTTCTTGAGGCCTAAATATATATCTTTTAAATACTCTGAATTGTAAAAATTGTTGTGAATAAACTTATCTTGATGTAAACGTACCGGTATATGAAGGTTTTGTCGTCTTCCGAGGTATTTTTCATCAGATGAGTTCTCCCTGCAAGAATTTGTTTTTACAATTCGATGCATGATAAAGAATTATACTAAGAACGCTGCTTTGGCTGCCTGTGATCGTGGTGGATGTGTAAACACCAGCACTGTATAGCTAACCGTAATATATATTCTATTTGTGAACATGATTTTTTCCAAACGTTAGGGATAGTATTTGAAATGGCTCCAAGTTATACCATAGAAGACTCCAAGTTATATAATAATACAATAGTACTAACAAATCTAATGTACACGAGATATATACGCTTATCTCTTCTTAAAGTTCTTCTTTGTGGGGAGGGGGAGGCGGGGACTTTGTCCTTTATCCATTCACTGTATCTTCAATGAACTTCAATGCCGGCAGGTTAGATCTTGTGGTAAGATGTTTTACTTTATTGTTCATCTTTATCTCCACACAGATGGAGAAATGGGTACCAGCAGCTCATCTTTGGTTAACCTTTGTGTGTGTTGGGGGTGGGGAAGCAAAGGGAGTACTTGTGCCATGAACTAGATTCCATCCAGGGGGGGAGCAGTAAAACGCCTAGCCCCTTTATATAACAGGAACCCGAGGCAAGCATCATTTCTCATCGCATTAAAATTAAGACAGACATTACTTTTACCTTTTGCGGAGGGGAGTTGAATCTGAATAAATCTAATAGCCAGTGTCTTCTTGTCAATAGCAAAAATAGAGAATAACACTAGAACTAGTGTCTAATATTATGTCTATCTATTTCACGTGTTAATATGTTTATTGTCAATAGAATTCATGTCGATAATAATCAAACACACAAAGAAAACTTCTTGCTCTTAACCATTTATTTTATTGTTGTCAACTAAGTTTTAACTTCTTCAAACAAATTTTAACTCATAATCATTTCAACTTAATCAATAGCAGCATCAACTAGATTTCTTGACCAATCAGAGAAGCCCTAAAAACATTAGAATCCTGACGTCACTTTCGTTGCTATGGTAACTCAAGACTGTATTCCATTGGGCATCCATCTTGGTAACAGATAAGGATAAGTCAGGTGACCATCGCGAAGTCTCTCCTTGTTTCTCTCGTCCAACAGAGGTTCTACTTGTTCAGTCAAAACAGAGAAGTAACGATAAAGAACCTGTCTTGCTTTTGGATCATCGAGATGCTCGCCGTAGTCAAACAGACGATCGTAGCGAAACGTTGAGAGGGTCATGACATTTGACATTTGAAGCTAGGGAAAGAAAGTTTGTTGATTGATCACTGAACGGAATAAATTTTTTAAATGCCTACTGTGGATCTGAAAAAGATCTTCATGCACTGTGTCTGCAAATACAAACCCAAATGCCCTGAATATCAACTACCCAAAATTCCCCTCCGTCTTAGCTTCGATAATTTAACCTTAACGATTTAACCTTTTTTGAATTTGGTGTATATAGCCCTTGTGTATTACACGTTCCTTATTAAACTTATCTTACTATCTTACATATTTATCACAAATATTATCTTACCAAAGACTGGAATCTATCGGGTAGTCTTGCGCTGGAGAAAGTGTTATTGGGAACCCTGTCGTCATCGTAGATTTTCAGGGGTATATTTGGTACATATGCAGTATAGTCGGATAAGGGGTAGTTGACAACACAGTGTTGAGCAGACATGGTCCATATCATCTGGGTTATCGTATCAATCAGTTCTGACCGAGTTCGAAGTTTGGCGGGAAATCCACGTAGCTATGGAAACAGAAACAATAGTACAATCCAAGCCGTCATCTCCTTGCATATCGATATTTCTAATGCTTATATCTCCGAAAAGAGAGGTCCACATACAAAAATATATACTGCAACCATACTACTACACAGTTCACATATAAGTGTATGTTTGAAAATAATTTTTTTCCCTTGATATTTAAAGTTTTCCAATCTCCGATAGAAGTCACGTAAATGTATATATGTAAATACAGTCGTTTGTACTTCATAATTTGCAGTTCCATTTCCTCTTATATCCACCAGTTAATTTTCTCTCTATTTTTACCTTCCTAGTCCTTCCTTTCTTCCTTTCTTCTTTGTTTGTTTGTTTGTTTGTTTCAGTTTTTGCCTCTTTTTATGTTTTCTTTTTTGTTTGTTTTTTGTTGTTGTTTGTTTCCCTTTTTTTATTTATTTATTTTTAGTCATTAACAGTATAACAAGCAGCAATAGTTACATTTCCTTTTCCTCCAGTGACCCCAGTTCCTTTAGCCGAGACCTCGTTCACAAAATTCTGCAGTTCAGAATCTTCCCTCACGTCATAATTATAACGATAATACCTAAGAGAAACAACGATGGGGTTAAAACTATTTCTCCTAATTACGTCTAAATCTGATGAAAGTACAACCAGGTACTAGCAGTGGAACTTGACTTACAGCTTCACGTATTCTGTGACCATGTCTCGAATAACATTCAATATCACTTGACCGTCATCTCGGTAAGGGTAATAAGGAAGATGATGACGGTTTGTCAAACCTCTTTTCTGGGGAAATCAAAATTAAAATATAAAAATGTTCGCCGTCAAGGTTGTTACAATGTGTGAACAATAGTGTTATTTGCAGGAGGACTTGCATGCGCCAGACCACTACAGATGATAGAAGTGGTGTTTGTACCCATACTAGATTAGAATGCACTTCGTTCTAGAAATATAACCTTTAAACCTTATCGAGACCCTGAAACAACCTCTGGTCTAATCAAAGTCAGGAAACGGCTAACTCACAAATTGAATTTGAATTTTGGCTTGATAGGTTTAGCTGAGATATTGCGGGGAACTGTTTGAATTTTCCATACCTTATTCATGTTGTAATCTGTGTGTAAAAAGCTTTACCTTGATATTTCTTGTAAATTCAAGATCTTTCCAGTTCAAGATTCTAGCTGTTCTTTTTGTTAATTCATTCGCTCCTTTATATCCATAGGGCATCAGTTTATCCAGAGGAAGATTCGGTTTAAGCAGAGTGGGTCCTCCAAAAGTGTTAGTAGTCAGTACTCCACGACAGTGATACTTCATGATCTCGTACAGAGGGTGTCGTTGAGATAACTGTCGCTCCACGCTTAGGCACAGGGCTTCAGAAAGTAAATGGACTTTAGCGAGATGTTCCACCATTTGACTGCCAGCCGCATCTGAATTCTGAACGTTGATTTTGGCCAACATCCATAGATCGCCGTCAGCCGGAGTTAAGACTTGAGCATCTTGTGAAAAAATAAAACTAGTAAGTAGCACGAATATTTTGTTTGCACTTGACATCATAGTCGTCACCTTGGTTGAACTATAGACCCTTTTCGAGTTCCAAATTACCGCTGTGTTTCTTGATTACAGACTCATTTGCTCAGGGTTAGCCCCGAATAAGTGTCTAATTACTCACAAATACCAACGGTAAAGTAAAGAATGCACAAGTTCAACAATACGAACACTTTGAAACTTGACAGACCTCGACTGGAACACGTGAATATTCTTCACAAAATCGAGGCTTAGCCTGAGCAAATGAGTCTGTAATCAAAAAACATAGCGGTAATTTGGAACTCGAAAAGGGTCTATTGAACAAAAGAAATGTCAATGAATCCTTTTGTCATATCAACCAAGATGGCCGCCGTATCTTTTGTTATTTCACTCCCTTGAGAATGATTGAAAACTAGCAATAGTCGTGTCACGAAATACGCAATATCAAGCTCCTGTCACGCAATACTCGCTCACCTTGTTTGGAGTCCATCTGTATGGCCAAAGGCATGAGATGACGTTTCGAGAAGAAGTATTTTCCACGAACGGATACGAAGAGAGCTATGGGGGACTTGTAGTCCCACATTCTCCTGTGAGGATCGCTTGCGGTATGGTCTTCCATCGATGGGACGTTATCGTTCAAAGGCTGATACAACACATACAGATACCCCCAACGAATAGCCTGAAATATGGAAAAAACAATTGACACCATGCGCTGTTGTTCTCTATACAAAGGATTTTTTTTGAACAGGGTTCGCACAGGTTCCCAGGATATTGTTCATGGTCAGTGTAGCGTTAGTACATAACCTTGCACTTAACGTCATTTCCCCATTTTTTCCACTTAGTTCGGATTGGATCTTTAGAAAAGCATGAAGCCATGCAACTACTCACAGATCTCAGTGATATTCCTAGAACACCTTTTACAGCTTCGTCCCATTTAAACTTGAGGTTAAGCTTCTTCCTGAGGTCTAGCCAGTTCATCCCAACTACATTTGGTTAAAAGGTGAAAAAAAGGTAACAAACTTTAGCAATAAATGTTGCTAAAACCTTCGAATACTCGACTTTTTGTACTTGTGCTGTGGTGTTAGGTTTTGCATTCATAATAGATCAGGCGTTCATCGCTCTCTTGACAAGTTCATGCACAGAAAAGTTGCGGAGAAAAAATGTCACAGGTAGCCCAAAAAATGTCAGAGTATATTGGAATACTCAAGACGCAAGGTAAGACCTTTATTTGTGTGAATTTTTGCATTTTATTTTTTACTGTATTTTAACGATAAACCAACACATAGCCAGCTTGGGCTATCTGTGGTTTGAATAGGGAGCTTCTCCCTCCCACCTCCTGGTTTGAACAAATAACAATTCATGAGATTCTACAATGAGAATTTTCGGAACAAAACTTACTTCGCGAGGAGTATGTGACTTTCTGTAATGTCATTGGATTAACGCCAGCCAATCGCTGTTCAGCAAACTGTTCATCAGAGATCCATTTTGTCATGTCTGATTGAAATGGCTCGACTTTGGAAGGCAGTTCTACGTAACCCTTTTAAAACAAGACACGTGTCATTCCCTTGAGAATAAGTTTTAGTTGTCAGGATTTCATCAATATATCTTCTAAGCGTCACCAGTAAGCAAAGCAAAAATAGTATAATACTCAAGAGAATGTCACGTTAACTAAACGGTTATCTTAAAAGGAACATTAAATATGACTTTCATTCGTTCATTCTTTTTACTCTACTTTTGACACTAAATTGCTGCAAACTTACATCAAAATAAGGCTCCAAGGACCCCCTAATCTGCATCAATTGAGCATACTCGGGCATTTTTACAATCTTTGGCAGGTGCGCAACTTTAGCCATGTATCCACTGATCAGCTTTCTCGTGCCGTTAATTATGCGCCCCCAGAGGGCTGCGTGAAAACCTGTAAATGGATGGTTTTTAAGAAGGTTCTGGTAGTCACTGATTGACATATCCAGACGTGAAAACGGCATTTGAGGCGTTGGTTCATGTATGCCATAAGTGCTGCGTTGCTTAGCGAGGGATTCTTCACGCTGCTTGAGACACGGTGAATCATGCGACACGTCTTGGGGGAGAGAGATTGGACACTGGTTCCCTTGACTGAAACAGCGAATGGTGCACTAGAGTAAGGAGCTATTTACGAGCTGTTGATATAGCCTCCGTTGCTGACGTCCTGCGGGGTTCGGTTCGGATCCGAACCGAACCCCGCAGGACGTCTGCAGCGGAGGCTACTGTTTATAGTAGGGAGTAACATGTGTTGTGTATCGTGTGGGATACTCAAACTAAAGCATATATATATATAGGGGTTGAATGAAACTGAAACACTTCTTTCTTTATTTTTCGTGGAAAACGATTGTATTGTTCCTGCTATCTGACATGGCTGCCGTCATGTGATGGTGCAAAACCTCTATACTGGTCCAGTGTTGTTGTCAGACCAGAAAGAACCCTAGTAATTTTCTTGAGAAAAAGATTCTTTGTTTGAGTTATATCCTTATTCATGTGTCTTCTCATTCGCGACCGTTAAACAAAGAAGTTATGCTCTTTGAATATGGATACAACTCAAACAAAGAATGTTTTTCTCGAGAGAATGACACGTTGAATTGTCTGAAATGGGAAAACATTACCCCCGAGGTAAAAGGGTTAATATATATATAGATAGATATATAAAGGCTTACCAGAATTGAAACAAGGCGATAGTCAGCAGACCAAATAGTAATGAATACAAAGACATCTTTTTCTCAGCTAATCTACAAAAAAAAGTTTTTTTTCAATTACAACTTTTTTGAAGCATGTGACTCTAGTAAGCTTGTAGCGTAGGTATTAAAAACAGAAGTTATGAATGCATACAAATGAGATGGAAATGAGAATACAAGCATTGTATCCACCCGATAGCCTTTGAACAAACGAATATCTCCAAACCATTTAAGACAAACAAATTAATACTGACAAATAGCTACTATTCGTCATGATCAACTTTGTTTTTATTTTTTTGTTTTTTCTAACATGCATATATTTACATTCCATACTAATTTTGTTTTATACTGAACATAGCAAATTAGTCTAAGGAACGACATAAACGCTTTCATTCTGCTCTCAAAATCTAATTTCTCAGCTTTAAAGCATACACTATAAGCTAACTAGAGTATGTTATGTTCCTTTTTTGGTTTTTCTTTTTTCTTTTCTCATGCTTCCAACATTATCGCAGCTAAAACCAGGAGCTCCGCTTGATAAAAAGCTTACAATAAATCGAAATTTTAGTTTGACTTAATTTTCCCCGTCTTCCGTGAATTATTTGTTATTTAGTATATGGTTATATGTGCATTTTAAAGATTATAATATTATATGAATGTGAAAGTGTGTTATTTTTTAAATTATGATTCATAATTGGACAATTAAACCAATTTTTTTAAAATATTCATGACATTTTAACGTGACTCGCCCCTCATGTTTAATTTTAAATTAAATTTAAGCCTCTGGAAACTTGGTCGGGCCAATTTATTGAAATTTAATGTTAACATTTTTGATTTTTAATGAAAGAGTTTCTTCATAAAAGAAAGAAGACATGGAATAAAACTAATCGTTTGCAAGCTACTTATTGTTTTTTATTATTATTAATATGCTGCTAAGTGCCTGCCTGAAGGGCCAACTGAGTTTAAGAGAGTACAAAAATAGTAAGACGGTACGCAATGTAGATAAAACTACTTGCTCTTATTATTTTGAGAACATCTAGCTGAATTTAAAACAAAATGACTTACACACAGGAGGACTGTTGATGGTTTTCACGGCGGCCGTGTTGGAGGAACTTAACAAAAGAATTGTCAATGAATTCTTTTGTTACATCCTCCAACGTGGCCGCCGTGTCTTTTGTTATTTAATTCTCTTGGGAATGGTTGAAAACCATCGATAGATATGTACGAGGTGAAAGTAATATAATTTTTGAATATGATTTTTTATGAGTTTTTAGTTAGACTTGTGATTTTATACTGATGAAGGCCGAAAGCCGACTTAAAGAGGCATCACTCAAATCAAGAATGATGTTTTACCAATCAGCTATTTAATTCATGCAGAACCAGTACAGGAAGTATTGTCGAAGGGCTCACTAACGAAGTACGTGCAGACTGTGAATCCTCGAGGATCCTTCTGGTGTAGACTGATAAAAGAGCGAAAGCACCGAGTTTATAAGTCTACTTATGGTGGGATTATCGTTGGACAAAACACAATTTCCTTACTCTACTTATATGCTACGCCTTTTTCTGACAAGAAAAATAAAGGAAAACCAAAGAAATAAATAATCAATTTATGCATTACAGTGCGAAAGGCTAGAAGATATAAAAGGTTAACTCTATCGAGAATAATATCTCCTGAGATTGAATTGGAATTGTGAAAAAAGTGCATGAGCTAAACCGGAGAATGCGGTAAAATCCCTCAAGGAAGAGAATCAACAATAAAATCAACTCGCACATGTACATACACCCAGCCAAGGAATTGAACTTTCCAAAATACTTGATGATACATAAGCTAGCTAATACTGATTTAACCATACTTACCTCATTCGCCGACCGCAACCTTCTTCTACTGGCAACGTTCATTGAAATACGCTGATTATTTGAATGACTGTCTAGCATTACTGCGCATGCGTAGTTATAGTGTGGGCACCATTCACCCGGGCGGAACGGGAAGGGAGCGTCTGTGTGCTTATGTTTCGTATTTTTCGTATTTTTGCCAATGTCACAAACACCACAGAGTCATATTAGGCGAAACTCAAGAAAAATTTTGTTCTATTCAAGAAAAAAATTTCACAGTTTGTTATTGTCATCATAGTTAATAGAGGGGAATGGTTAGGAAACCCTTTTGTTATAGGTCTTTGCAATTGTTCGCTTTTTTCAAGCGTGAACGTGCACAATCCTTGGTCTTACCATTGTTTTACCATTGTTGGCAATGGCTGAGTGAACAGACCAAAATCTTTCTTTTGGCTACTAGTTCAAAATACTTAAAGATTTATAAGAGATATTTGAATATTCCTTACAACAATCCCATAGACAAAGTTTATGTTTACTTGTTTTGCAATTTCGGATGAGCATAAATCAAACATTGTGCATGGTCAAGACCTTTTCAACATCAAAAGCGAACAAAGACCTGATAACAATAGGTTTCCTAACCATTCCCCTCCATTAACTATGTTGCCATGGAAAGTATGATTATGCAATACATCGTTAACAAACTCTTTTTATTGTCAATACAGTACACGTCGACAATTATAATCAAATGCACAAAGGAAAGGGATTATATTCTTAACCATTTATCTTATTATTGCTAAACGTGTTTTACCGACCTAAATCGTTGCCAGCCGTTTGCTGACATAACTTATTCAATAGTAGGATCAACTACTTCTCTAGACCAATCAGAGAAACCCTTTAAAAAACAGTAGAATCCTGACGTCACGTTCGTTGCTATGGTAACTCAAGACTGTATTCCATTGGGCATCCATCTTGGTGACAGATAAGGATAGGTCAGGTGACCATCGCGAAATCTCTTCTTGTTTCTCTCGTTCAACAGAGGTTCTACTTGTTCAGTCAAAACAGAGAAGTAATGATAAAGAATCTGTCTGGCTTTTGGATCATCGAGATACTCGCCGTAGTCAAACAGACGATCGTAGCGAAAAGTTGCGAGACTCATAGCAAAGGATGCGTGGGCCTGAGAAAAAGTAAAAATCATCAAATGGATGTTTAGCAGAATTATCTGCCTTGTTCTAGTAACGACCACCCTCAGTATCAGTGCCTTCGTATACTCTTTTTGAATAATTTGTTGATGAAAGATAAAAGTTACTTATTTCTACCTCCTTTCCCTTCCCTTCCCTTTCTTTCCTTTCCCTTCCTCTTCCTTTTTTTCTTTACCTCCCTTTTTTCTGTTTTCCCCTCCTTTTCTTTTCGTTTCGTTTCCCTTTTATTCTTTCCTTTATTTTCCTTTCTTTTCATTTTCATTTTTTTTTTTTCGATTGCTGTAAAACAAGACCCAGCCATACCGCTGCTTGAAGTCTATTAGGTAACCTCGTGCCAGAGTATGTCGTATGGGACACCCGTTCGTCATCGTACAGCTTCATGGGTATGTTAGGGGAGTATGCACCGTAATCTGCCACAGGATAACTAATAGCCGCGTGCTGAGCGGACATCAACCAAATCATCTGGGTAAACGTATCAACCAGTTTTCTTTTGGTTCCAATTTGGGAGGGAAATCCCTGTATCTATGGAAACAGAAACAATAAAGCTAAGACATTCATTCACTTTATTTTTAAAAAAGCAATCCCACTTACGTTCCCGTTTACTCCTTCAGTTCTAGACCCTTCAGCCGAGACCTCGTTCACAAACATTTGCAGTTCAGAATCTTTTCTTACTTCCTTATTAGATTGATAGTACCTACAAGAGACAACGAAAAACTATTTCTCCTAATTACGTCTAAATCTGGTGAAAGTACAACCAGGTACTAGCAGTGGAACCTGACTTACAGCTTCACGTATTCTGTGACCATGTCTCGAATAACATTCAATATCATTTGACCGTCATCTCGGTAAGGGTAATAAGGAAGACGACGACGGCTTGTCAAACCTCTTTTCTGGAAAGAATTACCAAAGATAATGATGAAAGAAGAAAATAGATGAGTAGGCAAATGCTTTTGTCAGTCAAGGGAAAGAGGCGAGGGGGGGGGGGGGGGGAGATTGAACCTAGAAAATAAATGTGAAGAAAACCCTATCGTAATTTGGTTATTAGTAGTGGTGGTGTCTTGTTGTCAGTGATTGTCACACAGTATAGCTACCCTCATATTATTTGTAAATTCCAGATCTTTCCACTCCAAACTTTTTGAAACTTCATTCACAAGATAACTCGATCCTTCGTGGCCAAAAGGAGCCAATCTATGCATTTTTTCCATCGGTTTTAGTAGTGCAGGTCCTCCAATAGTGTTAGTAGTCAGCACTCCACGGCAGTGATACTTCATGATCTCGTACAGAGGGTGTCGTTGAGATAACTGTCGCTCCACGCTTAGGCACAGGGCTTCAGAAACCAAATGGACTTTACTTAGATGTTCAACGATCTGACTGCATAACAGGTCGGTCAACTGGACGTTTAGTTTAGCTAGCATCCAGAGATCGCCATCATTTGGTGTGAAGACTTGTGATACTTGGAAAAATATTTAACAATTATTCGCCGGAGGCGAAGTGATTATCGGTGGAATATTTACCGAGCAGCGAGTTTTCGTGCGGAGAGGTAAATATCACCATCACGGAGCCTGAGGGGAATAATCTTTTTAGTACAATTTTAGACTTGAATATCGGAGAAAAGTCGAAATTCAGGATAAAAAAACGTTTTAGTATTACTTCCGATCTGGGAAAACTTTGGAAAACCTTGTAATCACCGCTCCAGCTGTGATTATCGTCTCAGAATCACCGGTCGCTCGACCAATCACAGCTCGAGAAACTCTATATTCAGGTCTTAAATTATACTAAATTGTAATAAGCACATCAAAAAAATTGTATGAATTTATAATTTTATAAATTGAATATCATTATATATATTTAGATAATAATATTATTAATTGATTTATATGTATTGTTATTTTTAATTTGATAGGTTTTAGAATTTATAATTTGACGGATTTTTGAAGAAATTTTGATTTTTGAAACCCAGCAAATTTTAGCACTCTGAAAAAAACGATTGCTTACCCTCAATCACGTGACTTTTTGGAGCTTACTGGGGGGCAAACAAGCGGTTGACTGGGGGGCAACTAGCGGATGCTAAGTCAAAACATATCAAAATAAGTTCTCAAACTATTGTATTTGACTATATCAACGACATCAAACCAGAAAACAAGAGATCAAAACAACCTCCAGGATTGTACAAGCCATCAAAAAAGAGCTATTACCGGAAGTGACGTCTATTGATAGCAACCTTATAGACGGATCATCGGGAATCATTGCAATGTGAATCTTTTGCTCTGCATTAATTAACAAAATGATAATGACGAACAATGTAACACGCGTTCAGCGCGTGAAATGGCGGGAAATGAAAACGTGCAATCATTGATTGACAAAATATCTCGTTTCCTATTGGTTGATTATAAAATCATCAGCTGTGAAATGCTTTCCTATTGGCTTATCAATCCCGTTGGCATTTATCTGGCTTCCAAATATATAATCAGATCGATGCCACATGTGGAAAACGCGCATTTGCTGCCTGAACGTCGATAAGGTGAGTTGATAAAAAAGAAAGACCTAATTTTTCTCTCCATTTCCAAGACGGTTCCCGAATTCTTCGACATTTTAATATATATCATAACTAAGGAACTAACTATTTTGAAAGCCCTATCTCGATATTTTAGGTGGAACTGACTTTTAACTTAAATTACTAATTTATTGAAAATTTTGACAAAGAAAGCCATGTTGATTTTTTAAACGGTTAAAAATGAAGCCTAAATGTTGCCAGCTGGATTTTCTTTTTTACGGACACTCATTGCAAATATTACCGCAAGGAAAACAATGTAGTTTGCTTTTTAAAAAAACTACACAAAACATGCCCGTTTCAACTTCGTTCTCGTCGAGAAAGGCTAAAAAGTTTACTCATTGCTTGGGGAAATTTAAAGATCAAACTCGAAGGAAACAAAAAATTCTTTATAGCTTGAAAATAAATAATTAATATTACTGTTCTTTCTTTTGAAGTTTTGTAACGTGAGCAATTTTGTCTAGTTTTCTTCTGCTTGCTGCTTATCGTTGTTACACTCGAGAAACACTCTCGCACATCCGAAATCATTGTAGTTTCTTCAAATTAAAGTTAATGTTGAGACTTTTTATGTAATTTAAATTTTCAGAATTGGCTTTTGGCTTCCAGCAACGACGACTTCGACAACAAGAAGAAATTTTCGCAACATGTAAAAAATCATCATCATGCATCATCATTTTTTTTTTCACAACTGGGTTCCCCCCCCCCCCCGAAATATGGAAGGATTTTTAACAACGTTTGGAAAGTAAGCTAATAATTATTGTGATTTCCATTCTCTAATACTGTATAACTATTAGCATATTGCAGTAGTATAGAGGCTTTGCACCATCATGTGATGGCAGCCATGACAGGGGCACAACAATAGAGTCTTTTCCCCTGGTAAACTGGATTCTTTCTCATGTAAATCAGATTAGACCAGATTCTATTGTTCCTGCCTCATGTCATGACTTCCATCACGTGATGATGCAAAGCCTCTATACTGAATGATGTAACGTATGAATTGTACATTATAATATTTGGGAACTATGGTATATTGTAGTAGTCAACGTATGAATTGCGCGCTATAATATTGGGGAATCATATGGTATATTAATGATAATATACCATAATTTCCCAATAAAATATTGCGCAATGCATAAGGGGTATAATATCGTTATTGCAGTAGTATACTGCATGATATAACCTATGATCTAAGCTTTGTCCTATGGTTTCCTCACCTGGCTTTGAATCCATCTGAATGGCTACAGGCATTAAACGTGGTTGTTCTGTCATGACGTTACCCTTCCCTGGCACCATCACGAAGAGTGCAATAGGTGACTTGTATTTCCACATCCTCCTCTGAGGATCATTGTCCGTGAGATCTGGCATCGATTCCATGTTGTCACTGAGAGGATGATGAAGAACGAAGAGATATCCTCGCCTGATGATCTGCGCGGATCAAAACATTACCTTATTACATGAAATTTTCGCGACACCTTAATTTCGCGAATTTCGCAATAAAAAAAATCGCGAAATTAAAATGACGCGAAAACTAAGTGTCGCGAACATAACATGACGCAAAAATTAAGTGCTTCACAATATGTCAATAATCAAGAAAGAATACGTTTATTACCACTGAAACGTTTACAAAATCAGGCGCGAAATTCCTGTGGACATTGTGAGAACTTCGTTGTCAGTAATGTTGTCATATAGACCGGCCGCTGCATCTTTTGTTAATTTTGACGATATTTTAGATGAAGCGAAAAACGCGAACCATAAAATCGCTAAACAAACGTGTCGCGAAAATTTCATGTAATAAGGTAGTCACTGAACTGATATCACTAATGACGTTATGCAAGTGATATTACTTGGCCCATACACCTAAGTCCAAAATCGCGCACGACCGAGTAAATTACTTGAAAACACTGCATCCCAGGCCAAATGCAAAGAAATAATACGTTGTCAATGCAAAGTATACACTTGTTCTGTCTTTCTTCCCTTCTCACATTCAGGAACACAACAATTTCGCAGCATCGAATTATAAGAATTGATGGGTTGCAAGCATTCCCAAGAGAATTAAAAGACAAAAACATAGCGGCCATTGTAGTGCCGTTAACAATGGATGCTAATGAGAAATCTTTTGTTAAATGGCACCAACATGGCCGCGATGACGTAACGTGCAATCGAAGAATATGTTGTAAATTTGTAAATTTTTGCCCTGGATGCCTCGTTATCACCCGGCCGTGCGCCATTTTGGATTTAGGTGTATGTCGTGTTATACTTATTAAAGTGTGTCGTGGGAGTTCATTATGGAGAATGACCATATCGAGTAATTAGGAATTGGGTGTAAAATTAATAGACCCTTTACCTTGAACTTTATACTGTTGGGAATCGAATTCTTTGAGTTATTTCTGTATTTATGTGTCTTCTCATGCGCAACCTTTAAACATAGAAATGATACTCAAGGGAATGACAGTATAAAAAGTATGCTTACCCATTTCAAAGGTTTTCCCTCCAGCTTTCTCCCTAGTGCATTATGAACTGCTTCCTCTACGTTGAAGTTAGGGTTCAACTTTTCCTTCAGCTTATTCCAGTTTTTACCGACTAAGTAGAATAAATAAGACTAGAATCATAAAACGAGCCGAGTAACTTTGAGTAACACAAAACGAATTGATCGTGGAACAAAATGAAACGAAAACAAGAGGGAGTGGGATGAGGTTTTTGGTCACGTGAAGGAGGACCATGCTTGTAAACTGGGGACTGTTCTATAATTATTAGCAGCGCTTGAGCAATGTAAATAATTACTGATCTTATCGAAATCCATTGTTTTCAGTCTGAATTATCCCAACGAATGCATAGAGGAAATTCAGACATATTTCGTTCATTCATTATTGGCTTTGTTTCTATGATAAACAAGCTAGAAAGAAAACAATTGGATTTTGATAAGAACGATAATTATACTAGATAATCACTTCGGCACGCAGCATTCGTAGGTATAATTCGGGCTACGCCCTCAGCTGCCTGCATTATACCTACGAATGCTGCGTGCCTCTAATTATCTATTAAATAACTAGCTCTATTTATTAGCCATTACGAAATAGCCGCCATCTTGAAAAAATTGTCCCCTAAAATAGGCCCACAATAGCTCAACTCGGATTTTTTCTTAACCTAGGATGGCTAATACCAAACACTAGAAGAAAAACGTTTGCGCATGCGTGAGTGGCCTGGTTCACCATTCCTAGAAATTCCAAGAGATCGGGAAAGTTTTTAATAAAGAAAAAATAAATGTTTTTTTTCTCCGAATATACAAAAACAATTGTGAATGTACTTTTGCAAACAAGATGCAGTATGGGTCTTTTTCACGCGGCAGCCATGTTGGTTGGAACAATAGATTCTACCACGCGTAACCTCGCATACAAGAGTTTGAGAATGAGTTTATGCGGGTGAAACAAAGGTTATTATTCTCATGAGGATAAACATGGCTGCAGTGTGATAAGGTCCATAAACCGGCGTAATATGACGGAATTAGAATTGAGTTTCAAGAACTAACTTTTAAGATTTGGAATTTTGTATAACCGTTTTATACGTACTTTTCTTGTAGAATGTGACTTTCTGTAATGTCATTGGATTAACGCCAGCCAATCGCTGTTCAGCAAACTGGTCATCAGAGATCCATTTTGTCATGTCTGATTGAAATGGCTCGACTTTGGAAGGTAGTTCTACGTAGCCCTGTAATATAATAGGTAGAGTGAATAGAGTGCTAACAATATAACCGTGAAACTTTAGTAATACTAAATAGCACAATTTCATGCAAATTCCATTGTTTTCTATCGTTTAATTAGCACTATTTTGTACTATTTAGCAATTGGTGTTTCACGGATTAATTGTTTGCACTCTACCATATATCCGTGTAAAAGCTAACCAACAAAATCGGACAAATTATAGAGCAAAGATAACATTCATGCGTCTTCTCATGCGCAACGGCCGTTAAACAAAGTAATAATAAGCTAGGAAATGACACGTGGTTTGAAATGGGAAACCTTTACGCCCAAGATAAAAAGGTTTACGACCAGAAAAAGGTGTGTTCAAACTACTCACATCGAAATACTTCTCCATTGCTGTTTTAAAGAAGTGTGTCAAAGGACCAAACTCTTGCAGTCTCATTATCCCAGGCAGCAACAACGTCCTGTTCAAATAAACCTTCAACAAAGTTTTACTCAACGTTGCCATGGATGCGTAAATTTTTGCGTGAAAACCAAGGAATGGATTTGTCTTAAGAAGTGTAGGATATTCATCAAGAGTAATATCCAGACGTGAAAACGGCATTTCAGGCGTAGGTTCCCGGATCCCAAACATGCTGCGTTGCTTAGCGAGGGATTCTTCACGCTGCTTGAGACACGGTGAATCAAGTGACACGTCTTGGGGGAGAGAGATCGGACAGTGTTGTGCGTGGCTGAAAATACAAAAACAACGTAAATGAGAAAAGCTAAACGTCATAAAATAAATTGCGTTCGGTCAGAACCATATAGTAAAATTTATTTCAAAATGACTCGAGCTTTTGGTATTTGAGTGGTATTCTTCTCAGGTAAATATTTCTGTTTCCGCCCTTACGGTAGCCTGCGTACTGAGCTGATCTTGGAAGAGAGGAATGGATCCTCCTCCCCTTTCCGCATCCCCATTCCCCACCCCCATCCCCTCCCAAGAGCCGCTAAGCAGGCTACTCTTACAGCTCTAGTTATTACCAGGGTATAACTTAGTTTTATCGATTTTCTAAAATACTCTAAACGTATTTATTGCCAGGAGACAGGTGTCTAATTAGTCTATCTCGGTTAAGTAACCTAAAATGATGTGTCATCCTTGCCAGGATTTTCATCAAATGAATGTTTGCAAAGCATTAAAAAATCGAGAAAACTGTCAACTTCATAATGTTTTGATTAGCGACCGCCAAGAATTGAAAATTAACCGGAGGTGGAAATCAATAGAGAATACGGTCAGGAAATATTCACTCACCCTCTCTCTCTTTCTTTAATGACTGTCTGTCTGTCTTTTTTCTCTGGACTATGATTTTTTTTTTCAAATAGACCTCTTTACCTTGGGCGTAATGTTTTCCCATTTCAGACCACGTGTCATTCTCTCGAGAATAAGATTCTTTGTTTGAGTTGTATCTATATTCATGTGTCTTCTCATGCGCAACCATTAAACAAAGAAATGATACTCTATGGAATGACATATGGTCTGAAATAGAAAAGTATTACTTCCTAGGTAAAGAGGTGTTTTTATCTATTCTAGAAATAGCAAAATTTCAGTTCTGTTACCATATGTAGAGAAAGAATGAGATCATGCAAAATATCACACTAACAATAGACATATTGGAAGGTGAAGGCATGTTGATATTCGTTCTGGGAAGAAAAAACCCACAGTAAATAAGTATTGTTCTCAGTCTTAATGACGATGACGGTGGTAATGGTAGTGAAGATAACGATGGTGGTAAAGAAGACGATGGTGACGATGAATGAGAGGATGATAAAAGTGTTGGCGATGAAGGATGGTAATTATGATAATGATGATCGTGATTATGATGATGATAATAATTATCATAAGGGTGATAATGACGCGATGATAAATCGTTCGAGTTAACAAAGAATATCTGAAGATGATCATATGATGGTACGGTGGTACAATCAATGGTATAATGATGACGGTGAAGGTGAGAAAGTTATTAGTAAAGGTAATTAGTAAACGATGATGATGAGGAGAGGGAAAATACAATTAAATGTACCTTTATATGTTATTTGAGTTAAAAAGAATCGGTCCTAGTACAAACGATTTCTCAGCAACGAAACAAACTTTTTTAAAAGAGCTTGACACATGAAACCTTAAGTTGATGAAAAATGCTTAAACTAGGAAATGTTTTTACAGTGTACTAGAATTTCTGTTTTTATAAGGAGACTAAAAATGAAAAATGAAAGGAGGGAAGAGAAGAGGAAATGCGGAACGGACCAATATCCCACGACGGCAAACAGCAGCAACAACAACGGCAGAATCAGAAACAGCAACAGAAGCAGCAACAGGAACACGACGAAGATGTACAAAATACAAGAACAAATCAGAGTGCCTACCTTATACCCGCTGATTCCTTCGACCAGAGCACTAAATACTGATCCAAGAGGTATAGGACTATCTATTTATTGGTCTCAGTGAAGCAAATAAAGGAACTTATTAATCAATTAACAATTATTTAATAAGATGTTTTTATCCATCCGTTACGAGGCGCGGGAGGTAACTTTGATCTCTTCTTTCACACCAGACACATTGGGACTTTCGTATCCATATTTGTTTGTTCAGTGGTTTGACATAACGGATGTCTAATTATTTCCGACTTATTTTTTATTTACCGAGAAAATAATCTCTACTAAGTGGTCCGGAAGGCTAGGCAAATACTTGCCTTTATCAGACTAGCGAAACCACCTTTAAAAAATCATTTATATTGGTAATTGAACTGAGTTAAGTGCAATTTGGAAACTACCTTTAAAAACGAATTGAAGAAGAATCCCTTCCATGACTTGACTGCAAAACTCAAAACGACCTCCTTTAATATTTAATATTTAATTAATATTTAATTTAAGTAATAATATTACTTAATAGATCTGTAAAATGCTCAAACGATAGATGCGTCTTACCGAGTCTTTTCCATTTTTATTGTTACGGACTGAAATGACGTTAGTAGAGTTTGTTGGATCACTTATATATTTTTCTGTTCATTATTCAGAACGATACTGACAGCTATTTTACTCAAAACGATTGGTGAAGGTTTTGTTGCATGACGCATGCTGCATACCAAGCCCGAAATGCACAATGGACGATGCAAATGCAATCATGAACAGCACAAAAGGTAACAACGATATTCTCTACTTTCAAATCCCCATAATACTTTGCGTCTTTCGGGGGTAACGAGAGGGTAAAACCCACCTATTTTGCTGAAGGCTGATCAGACAATGTTGATAATACCTTGTTTGGCATCCAAAAATAAAATGAAGAAGTAAAAAACAGAAAAAGATAGAAGCTTGAAGACGTTTATGGTAAATTTTAGACATTTTTTCGTAAGTCAATACATTTTCTGTAAGACCAAAACTCTTGATGATCTGTAGACGCAAAAATAACTTGGAATAAACTGATAATCAGTATTGTACAGATAAAAGCAGGTATAGTATAAATTCAATTAAGAAACTTTTCAATTTGGGACAGTTTTTTGATTGGTTACATCCCAAAGACGCAAGACATTATGGGGATGTGAAAGTAGAGAATGACTTTATTTACTAGTTTCCTCCTCCCGAGCCGTCATCCGTTTCGGTCCCAGATCCTCACGGGCCCTCTTCACTCACGGCTGCTCACTTGAGCACTACATTCCTTTCCTTTTGTTTAGTTTGACCAATGAAAAGTTTCTTGCATATCTAATCCAATTACGTCCCTCGATTGATTTGGAATATATTACTATCAAAACCGCGTTACATTATTCAGAATGTGGAATGCCAATTAAGTCAATGATGCTAGCATAAAATAATAATCAAAGAATCAATTAAACTACCCAGTTTTGAAAATGGGAGCCTGATTCTAAGTGGTCAATCCTGTGGAAAGGAATGTAGTGCTCGAGTGAGCAGCCGTTAGTGGAGAGAGCACGTGAGGATCTGGGACCGAAACTAATAACGGTTACGAAGCTAGGGCCATGGCTAAACGAGGAAACATGTTCCCAGAAACATGTTTACTGCACGCATGTTTCCTCGATGTTTCCCAGTTTAGTTGTAGTCTACAACCACTGATAGAAGATAGCCTTTAGTAGATAACCATAGAGTACACCATTCGAACGCAGTTGCAGTGACTAGAGTAGATTTATTGACGGTAGATATTGTTACGATCTTAAGAAACTAAGAAACTGGTTCGAACTGAAATACAGGTTAAAACACAACATTAATTTAAGAT